GATAGATAGATAGATAGATAGATAGATAGATAGATAGATAGATAGATTAGTGACATAGATAGATTGGTAGGTAGGTAGATAGGTAGATAGATATAGATAGATCATCCTATAAGTAGAAGATCTCCCACATTTACATCCTGTTGTTCTTCTAAGAGGTCTTCTAGTCCAACCCCCTGCTCAAGCAGGAGACCCTATACTAGGCTAGTGGTTGTCCAGTCTCTTCTTAAAAGCCTCCATTGATGGATGACCCACAGTGTTGCTAGGATTAAGGAGAAATTCCCTAACTCTGAGAACAAATTAATCTGTCAGCTTTGGAGATCATATTTTACTTAGAAGCTTCCACACTGGCACATTCAGTGCCTAGGAATTTGGGAGGAGGGATTTCATAAGGGGGTAGATTAGACACAACAACATTCTTTCTCACAGAGTCAAGGACATGTTGCCCTGTACCTGTTGGAGTTTGGGTTGGAGTTTGTTACTTGGAATGCTGACATAATCACTTATGTTTTCAGAAGTTGTGGGTGCTTCATCCCTGGAGGCTTTTAAGAAAAGACTAGCCAGCTATATAGGATACACTACTGGCTGCCTCTTGTGCAATGCTGCCAGTAGTAGATCTGTAGCTGGACAGAGAAGTGGAGATTATCTTGTTTGCAGTGGGAGTATTCTGGACCTTCGCCTGCCATTCCGTATTGCTCTTTTTCCGCGTCTCAAGAGGGGCCGAGCTGCATTTGTCTCCTCGCTGCTACTTTCTTCTTCTTCACTTGACGTTCTGGCACCTCTTGGAGGGCTACTTGGAGGCCTCACACGCCCTGCCCAGCGGCAAGCCAGTTTGTCCTCTTGGCAAGCCTGTCTGCTGGACAACCTCCAGCTTTCGTTGAACGGGGCTGCCGCCATGCATTCGGCTGCAGCTTTATCGCAGGAACACAGGAGATTTTCACACAGGGTCCATCCAACACCTAAGAGGAAGGAAGATGGTGGAGAGTAGCTTCTGTATCAAATCTCAACACACCTTCAATAAGGTCCTCACTGTGAGAATTATCAGATTAACAGAGTTGGGAGAGTCCTTGTAAGTCTTCTAGTCTAACCCCACCCAAGAAGGACACCCTACACCATTTCTGACAAAGGGCACTCCAATTTCTTCTTGAAAGCTTCCAGGGATGAAGCTCCCACAACTTCCGAAGGCAACTTCTGTTCCATTTGGTTGATTGCTCTCACTGTCAGAAAGTATTTGCCATCCTAGCAACATTGTCCATGGGGTAGAGAGCCAATGATGTCAGACAGGAGGTCAAGCAATCAAATAAGAGATCCTGGAAGCTTCACTGAGCTTCACTGTTTTCTTACAGATGTTTCATCATCCAATTAGGTAATGTTATCACTGCTCGCAACACTAACATTATTACTATCTCGTGGGGTAATGGAGCATCTGCAAGGAAACCACCAAGCCCATGGAGCACCAAGGAGCCCTGATTTCAACCCTGACCCAGGGGTGGGCTTCTGGGGGTTCGCAGGGGTTTGGGGGAGCCCCTAGATAAGATTCTGTCTTTTATTCACAAGGATAAACCAAAAATCAAACGTAGTTAGTCTGAACAAACCTGGGTTTAGCCAAGGAATCTGAAGTGCTTGCTGTATACTAGAAAACAAATGGATGTCTATGATAACCAGCCACTCTCAAACTACTCCTATTTATTTTCCTGCCAGAGAAGGGCTGCCTACTGTCTGCATCTGCTTCTCCCTGAGAGCCGGCTTATTGCTTTCTTTTGCCCTCCTCTCCTTTTTTCTCTGTGCATATGCACATCTGGGATGGGCCCCATCTGTTCCTCCCCCTCACTCAGCTCAGGCCCCAAAGAGAGCTGCCTGGCCACAGATAACAGATAATCAGAGTTGGAAGGGACCTTATAGGTCATCTAGTCCAACCCCCCCACCCAAGCGGGAAACCCTACACCATTTCTGACAAATGGCAGTCCAATCTCTTTTTGAAGGTCTCAAGTGATGGCACTCCCATAACTTCTGAGGGCAACTTCTGTTCCATTGGTTGATTGACATACAACTATCTGTATCTGATTGTTCTCACTGTCAGAAAGTTTCTCCTAATTTCCAGGTTAAATCTCTCCTTGTTCAGTTTCCATCCTTTATTCCTTATCTGGCCTTCAGGCACTTTAGAAAATATCTTGACCCCCTTCCCCTCTGTAGCAGCCCCTCAAATATTGGAAGACTTCTATCATGTCTCCCCCGGTCCTTCTCTTCACTAGACCAGCCATGCCCAGTTCCTGTAGCCGTTCTTCATATGCCTTAGTCTCCAGTCCCCTAATCATCCTGGTTGCTCTTCTCTGCACTTTTTCTAGAGTCTCAACATAATTTTTATAATGTAGTGACCAAAATTGGATGCAGTACTCTAGGTGTGGTCTTCCTAAGGCTTTATAGAGTGGTATTAGTACCTCCCTTTTATCTTGATTGTATCCCTCTGTTAATGCAACTTAGGAGGGAGGATGGAAGGCCCCATCTCTGTCTTTGTCTCCGATGCTGGTTCCTTATCAGAGAATTTCAAAGGCTCTGAAGCTGGCCCAGGTTCTCTCTCAATATCCTCCTCATCAGAGTCTGCTGCTACCTCTGCTGGCAACTGACGGGCCACAACCACCAGCTCAAGTTTAACTCAGCCTTCCATCCAGGGGTGGGCTGCTGGGAGTTCGCAGGGGTTCAGGAGATCCTCTAGCTAAGATTCTGTGCAGTTGGGACAACCCCCCAAATTCTACTCCTGGCTGGCCCCACCCATCCCACCCTGCCCCTCCCAGAAGCCCCCACACAGCCCGTTTTTAATACAGGTAAGTGCAGGGCACACATGGAAGCTCAGGAAAGGTGAAATACAGGCCTCCCAGAAGTTCGGGAAGGCCGGAAATGGGCCCATTTACAGCTTCCAGAGACCCTCCGGAGCCCGGGGAGGCTGTTTTCACCCTCCCAGAGGCTCAAGAAAAGACTCTGGAGCCCAGGGAGGGCAAAAACTCCCCCCCACACCATGGTGAAGGAGGCCAACAAGGCCATACCCATCCAGCAACTGGGCAGAGAACCCTTTGCTAAAATTTTTGAAGCCCACCCCTGCCCTGACCTACCAATATTGTCCGCTGTTGGCTACTGGCAATCAAAGTCTCACCTCTTCTTAAGGGTATGCAGTGCACGTTATAGAGACAAGAGTTGATTATTCCAACAGCTGCTAAGAATCAAGGAGTGAAGAAAAGCAGATTCCCACAAACACTAACAAGGCAAGCCGACTGTATAATAAACATCCAGCAATCCCCAACTAACATCTCAGGTCTAGAAAGGAGCACTAACATGTTACCTAGTTGCGTAATGAATCATCTGCAAGAAAACAACTAAACTCAGAGAGCACCAAGGATTCAGATTGATTATTTGGTCATGTCAATCATTTTGACGCATTTGACATACACACACACACACACACACACACACACACGCCAAGTGTATCTTCCTTGGGGATTGGGGAGATGAATTTCTAAAGATCTGATGAAATTCTAACCCCTGTTGAAATCCTTTCCTTGAAGGCTTTCCTATATTTACCGGAGAAAATTGATGTGTTTTTTTTTTCCTTTTAAAAATGTGTCATTTAAGAAAGAGGTGATTCTTGGACACCGCGATCTCAAAACTTACATGTTGGGGTGTGATCAAAACACACAACTTCGGAACTTGATTTTTTTTCTGGCTGACATCCCAATCTTTTAACTTGTTCCAGGCAGCATTGATGGGAGAAACAACATCTGTTAGATGGAAAGGATAAGAGAATTAAGGCTTCAAAACCATTTTCTACCTACGCGTACCTGCAGCGTTCTTTACATTGGTATAAACCTAGCAGGTATTATATTCTGAAAAATATATTTCTCTCTTGCTTTATCATATCATCTGGTTCAGGTCAATGATGGGACATGGGCAGGAAGCAGAGCCAGCCACAAGCGGAGGTGAGGAACAAAGAGGATCATCTTGCTCTATGATTTCTGCCCGTCCTTTGAGATCTGACAAGAGTGGTATGATATGGGTCCTGTTACTTCAGCAATGCAGCTAGTAGAACCCAGGAAGCAGTATTTATTTATTTAACAGAGTGAGTGAGTGAGTGAGTGAGTGAGGGAAGGAAGGAAGGAAGGAAGGAAGGAAGGAAGGA